ACAACAATCATGTGCAATAATTTATGTTGTTTTATACATAATAATACTTTTAACTATAATATTATGTGTATATAATATAATATTTTTTATAATATAAAAAAGTATATGTATATAATATAATATTTTATAACACGTGACCTCCATATCAAGTGTAGTTCCAATCACCACTACATCAATTGGTTGTTGGTGTAGTGGTGATCGTGACTACACTTGGTAGGGAGGACCTGTGTGCTCCCTGCAACAACAATCGGAAGGGGAGTGGAACCTAATAACCTAGAACTGATCCTCAAATCTGGATTAGCCCAAAGGGTGAACCGGATTGAACACCCTAAACTCAATACATATATGACGTGAATTAACTTATCCTTTATCTATCTTATACAAAACTCCAAAGTCTAAATTTTTTTTCAAAATATGATAATAACATTTGTAAATTTTTGTTAATATGAAAGATATAAACCTATCAAAATGTATATATAGTTAAATTGTTTAATAACTTATATCGAATGCGTAGTTTTATTAAAATTATTTGCATGTAATCATTAAATGCGTTGGATGTTGTGTAGCTATGCAATGTCCAAAAATTTAGTTGAGCGACTTTGATTTAGTGATTGTACGGTAAAAAGATATTGACTTCGATCTTGAAACCTAATAGTCTAATAAATTCTAAATAGAAAAATTAAAACAAAAGGAAATGAAAATAGTAAATGGCTTTAAATATTGAAATAAACATAACCTTTTAAATCAATTTAGAGAATTCAAGAGACAATTTTAAGGCATTTAAAATTAAATGGTGGAAAATATATGTAAAAAAAACATTTTTAGATATATAAATGTCCATGCACTATTATAAGAGTTTTGTTAACCTTTTTATAATTAAGTTAGGGATAAATCTTAGTAATATATACTCCGTATATTTTATTTATATAAAACTATTAGTATCCACACCTATATACAAAGTAAAGTAAATGGCTTTAAATATTGAAATAAACATAACCTTTTAAATCAATTTAGCGAATTTAAGAGACAATTTTAAGGCATTTAAAATTAAATGGGGGAAAATATATGTAAAAAGAACATTTTTAGATATATAAATGTCCATGCACTATTATAAGAGTTTTGTTAACCTTTTTATAATTAAGTTAGGGATAAATCTTAGTAATATATACTCCGTATATTTTATTTATATAAAACTATCAGTATCCATACCTATATACAAAGTATTTGTGTCGTATCCTATATTTAATCAGTTGTTGGTTATATATATGACTATTATATAATATATAGTTTTTGGCACAATGCTTAACTTAGGAAAATATATGTTCTGGTAGGTCAAATATAAGGTTATTATTGTGTCTATAGATTTAATGAGTGCGACGGGTAAATAAAACATATATATATTAGATTGATTGTAGCTACTGATGCGGATGGTATGATAAGAAAATTTTAGTTTTTTCTCAACGGGAGATATAAATAAATTAGTCCACTTCCTATATAGCTAAGTGGAGTATTATTCAATTATTTTTCAATTAATAAAATAACATTATAAAAACTTAAAAGAAATTCAAATAACATAAAATACTATTCAAATAACGTTCCTTTATTTTTTTTTATTGACCATTAGTACAAGTCCTTTAATAGTAAATGAATTACTTTTGTTTTTATTTTTATTTTTCCTACGGGTTTAATAATTTGATTTATAAACCGTGCATTGCACGGACACTATGCTAGTTGTTACAATATTGGAGCCGAACTGAACTGAGCTCAACTGAATATTTTATGAGATAGGGAAATCAAGGGATGAATTGAACTGAACTGAATTGAATGGAGTTGAACTGAACTGAACTTAACTGAAATTAAGTAAATGTAAATAGGCCCTAAGTACATTTAATATTTTTTATAGGCCCCTTTAATCTTTGAGTCCTAGGTGGGCCGCAGGCAATTAGTCTAAGGTGCACCCTTGTGCACCTTAAACGTAGAAAAAGCCTAATTACACACAACCCAATTAAAAAAAGCCCACTAAAAAACACGGAAACTGCAATACACCCACCCACACCCAATACATCCACCCACACCCAATAAATGTAACGTCATTTCCAAACTCAAAAATCTTCTTCTTCTATATGATTTTCTCTCTCCTCTATTTCATTCTCTCACTAAAAAATTGCAAAAACTTCAATGGACATTAGGAAAGAGATGCAAAATCAAAAGGATCCTCCCCAAAAAGGAAATTTTATGTAAATTTCACTTAATTTTGTTTGAATTTATATGATTATCACTTAATTTTGTTTGAATGTTGTTCGAATGAAATTTATTATTAGAGTTGTAAAAAAATTAGTGAAATCAAACGGATATTTTATGTTCATATTTCAAAATTCATATGTTTATATTTTGAATTCTTATGTTCATATTTTGAATCCGTTTGTAAACTTTCTGAAATGCTTATATTCACTTTCTAAATTCATATGTTCATATTTTTTTATGTATGTGTTCACCTTCTGAAATGCTTAACTATGTTCATATGCATTCAAAAATGAACCAATGCATATGCTCATATTTTGAATTCATATGTTCATATTTTTAATACTTATGAATTATGATATATATGTTTCATAATCATATTATTTTTATTTCTTTTTTATGTTCATAATAAAATTCCTTATATTCATAATAAAATTTTATATGTTCATAATGTAAATATTCATAGTAAATATTTGTTTTTTTTCATTAAGTCTATTTATGCATATCTTCTCTCTCTTAAATGCATATGATCATATTTTTTAAGCATATGTTCACCTTTTAATTTGTTATATTCACTTTAAGGAAACCAATGCTTACGTTCATATTTTGAATTGTTATGTTTACTTTCTGAAATGCATATGTTCATATGTTTTATGCTTATATTCACTTTCTGAAAAGTTAATGTTCACGTTTAAGGGAACCTATGCATATGTTCATATTTTGCATGATTATGTTCATTGATAAAAAAATGCAGAAAATCAAATGAAATTCATACACAAATGAAATTGATCGAAGCTAAAAAAAAAAATAAAAAATAAAAATTCAATTCATATGAATTCAAAAAATCAAATAAATAACCAATTCCATATTGTAAGTAACATATTCAATCGTTAAATCGAAAAAACGAGAAAAATAGGAAGGAAAAAAAAACAAAGGAATAAGGAAGTAAAGAAGGAAGGAGAAAAATAGAGTATAATTTGTGAATTCAAAGATTCATATATACCTTAATCAATCGAAATTAAAGCACAAAATCGAAATTTACACAAAAATTCATACTTAATAACTACTTTCATATTGTAAGAAACAAATTCAATCAAAAAAGTGTAAAAAAGGGGGAAAATTAAAAAAACAGAGGAGAGAGAAAATAAAAAATGAAGGAGAAAAATAAAGGAGAAGAAACCTAATATTCACTTTCTGAAAAGCTAATGTTCATATATGTGCTGTTGTTACACCTATTTCTAGGTGCATATGAGTGTGCACCTAAGAATATGTGGGGCCGCAAGCGCACTCTCCGTCTACCCTCAGGGTCGGGACCGGCTCTACTTATAATACAAAAAAAATTTAGCTGTTACATATAGGTACGTGAACAGAAAAACAGACACTTAATTTTGAGATACTTGAAACGGAAAACATGCACTTAATTTTGGGACGTGAAAGCATTTTATTTGATGTCATATTTGATCACTTTAGACGATAACTCTTCAATCAATTAGGGTGATTAAAATGTTGATTTGGATGTTGTAATTATTTGTGTACAGGGTGTATGTACCATAGTGAAGTAGAGCTAATGAGCTTTGAACATCCAAAGAATAAGGGCTTGTTCTCATACGTATAATTTCAGTTCAGTACAACAACAACCAACAACAACAACTACAAAAACCACAACCACAACCACAACCACAACCAACAACCAACAACAACCACAACAACAACCACAACCACAACAACAACAACCACAACCTCAACCACAACCACCACAATCACAATCACAACCACAACCACCACAACAACAACATCCACCACAACCACAACAACAACCACAACAACCAGAACCACAACCACAACAACCACAACAACCACAACAACAACCACCACAACAACCACCACAACCACAACCACAACCACAACCACCACAACCACAACCACAACCACCAACAACAATTGATAAAGTTCATTGTTCAAATGGTTATATTTTTTTTATACACATTTTTACTGTTAAACTCATTAACAAAATGAGAGTACTACACAGCTTAAACTAATTTTATTTTTAATTAATTTTTTAAAATGTTTTGGGGTTTCATGTTATTACTATATTTTCCATATATATTTTAATTATACACTATATTTTTCTTAAATATTTTAATATGTATATTTGTATATACACATATGTATTATAATAAGTAATATCAAAGATCACTAATCCGTAGTTAAAAATAACTAATTAATAAGTTCAATTCAGCTGAGTTCATTTAATGAGAATAGACCTTAAATTAAAGGCAATACCAAAGAACAGATAGTGAAGGGGCGATGTGTACTGTAAAGCAAACTTTAAGGTAGATATCAACTCCAAGAAAACTACTATGCCTCGCCTTGGAAGTGAAGCCAATTGGGCCCTTTGTGGTTCCCAAACTTGAATTTTTTTGGGATCTATTCCAGTAAAAATATGTGCATTTTACACTCTTAAGTTTAAGAATAAGGGATGGAGAAATGATTATCAAATATATACAAGGACTTAAGGAGTATACTTTAGAACTTTTTTATATTTAATTTTATTACCCCCGTTTTATATTATTTACAACAATTAGACATTTTTCCTCTATATTTTATGTTAAATCTCTACAAATAATATAAAATGAATGTAGTATTTAATTTGTCTGAACGAACTTATCTTAGGTTTTGAACATAATACAATATAGAATAATTTCCTCTAAAGCCCGAACCCAACTTATTATCAATTAAAAAGAAAATTATTTGCGAGTACAATTTTCAACACAATAACATATGAATCATCATTTTTTGTAAACAAAAATATTCTTAATGTTATGGACTTTATAATCCATAGCCAACAACGACTCATCACGATGAGCAATAACTTTGGAGAAATTGAAACCCAAATTCTGCATAACAAACACCTCGTGAATAAAGGAAAATAACAGAAAATTCCAAATGAAAATATATATGATTCAATTCATACAATTATTCTAAACAGTATTAAAACTTTCGGGTCAAATAAATTGACTTAAATGGCATAAGATGTTCCCATATCCTCGTCGTGCTGAAGATAGCCAATACAAACTTAGCATCAATTGACTGTGTCAAACCTGCTTGTACAATTTCTTGATATGCACATGAATAATCAAAGAATTATCTTTCGTGTATTTATCAGTCTTTTTGAATTCGGCAATAGAAATGAAGTCTTCAAACCCTTTAGTGTTGTCTGACTGAGTAAACCATGCAAATCCTACAAAATGAATGGTTTGTCAGGATTGGTTTTATATTCTATCATGTCCCCACTACAGTCACATAAAAGCCTATAGGGCTTTGACACAACTTAGGGCTCGATCTTTTTACCCAATGCTAAAATCTTTAGGGAAAAAATTGTAAAAGATGTGATATGTGAATTCGTAAACTTCTTATCACTACAAGAAAATTGAGCAAAGAGAACGACATATATCAATCAAGGAGGACGAGTTAGATTTTGACTTATTTTAAATTAACAATTAGGATGCACCTAAATTGCCTTGCTAAGTTCTTACTCCGTATGAAAGAGGACAAGTTAGATGTCGTCCTATTATTTCAGAGCAAAGTTGCCCATGTAAGTTGCCCTCTTTGATCAATAAATGGGAGCGCTTAGAAATAAATTGTCTTCCTTGAGAAAGACTTTGTTGGACTTAATGATTTTGATGATGACACAACCTCACTTACTTACAAACTAATAAGTGTTTGATTGTTTAAGTGTGTACTCAGTTACAAAGACTAGGAAAATGAAGTGTCTTGTAAAAAATACCATGAGGAACAAGAAGGCCAGAAGTAGAGCTATCCATATGGAAGAGTTCCCTCACATGAATTGGCGCTTCAGAAATGAAGACTAGAGAAGAGAAGGTTCCCTCAGGGAACAGAAGCTTCAGAGAAGAAGCCTCATCAAGAGAAGAGAAGTTCCTCTCAAGGAACAGAAGCCTCGGAGTAGAAGCTTCATTAGAGAACATGAAGACTAAATATATTTATATATTTTAGGATTTATGTAAGTATAAGATATTAAGTTGCATTCGAAATACTGTGTGGAATTGGTCTAAAAAGATAATTTTGTGTTAGCTAATTTTTAGGGAAGTTGTTATTTTCTAAACGATTATCTTTTTAAACAAAAAGAGGATTTTATTTTTATTCTGATTTTACAAAATATCTTCTGAAAATAAAAATCTCCATGTTTCCCAAAACTTGCGGCCTACTCTCCCATGATCTTCTTCAGTCATGGTATTGCACATTGAGGAGTTCATGGTCCCTTAATTATAGGGACATGATCTTCTTAGTGGGTATGAGTAGTAGCGTAATGGTGTTGTTGCACAAAGAGGATTTTCCAAAGCGTTTGTTGATCTATAAATAGCTATTGATTTTTGTTGGAAAAACTCACCCTTGCTCACATAAGTTTTCAAGCTCCAAATCGAGTCAAGTGTCAATTCCACACAAGCTCATTAGATTGCTCTTAATGTTCTTATACTAGAGTTTGTTTATCTTTCGAGTTGTAATTTGGGGAATGGGGAAGTTCGAGTGAACGTTTGTGTATGAGAAAGAGAAGTGAGAAACAGAAGAGAAAGAGAACAGAAAGAGAAGAGAGAACAGAGAAGTGAGAAGAGAGAAAGAGAAGAGAGAAAGAGAAGAGAAGAGTAACAAGTTGGGTGACTTGTTCCTCAGGGTTTCAAGTTCGTAGAGGAACTTGAGTTTGAGTCATTAGCTTGTAATAGGATCATTTGCCCTATTATAGTGAAGATTCTTTTCCCAAAATCCCAAGTGGTCGTGGTTTTTCTCCTTGTTAAGGCCAAGGAGTTTTCCACGTAAAATCTCTCTTACATTCTTTAGTTCTTTTAGTTAATCTTTCATTTCCTTTAGCTAACTTAATTTTAATTCCGCAAAAAGTTTGGTTAATCTCTCATACTACAATTCAACCCCCCCTTCTTGTAGTATTCTTTAAGACAACAGACTAATACAAGTCTAGGCCAAGTAATACTTTTAATTCTATATATATTACCTCTATTACAGGTTATGTACAACAATTTGACATAAAGCAGAGAGCAAAAATGTCTAATCGTTACACATAACCTGTAACGGAGGTAGTATGTATATCATAACGACTTTGATATCATGTTAGAAGATTAAGCATTAAAATTTAAGTAAAAGGTTAAAATTGATGATTGAGATTGATTTTGCACTTTACCTTTTTTACTAATATCAGGACCATTATTCTTATCTTTCAAGATGAGCTCAAATTCAGCGTATACGTGTTTCTCATTTGCAGTACTAGTCGTTTTTTGTAATACCAAAAATACCGAAAAGCTTTGGTTTTGCTCTGAGCTTCTTCCATTTGGATAAATTTGTACCTTCCTGCACATAAAAGGGATATGATTCCAACCTCAACACGCATTCATTATCTCAATATCTCAACAACAAATACATAAATCTACTTACTCAAAAAATTATCAAATACGGAGTAGTACTGAGTACTAAACTAATTAAATGTACAAGAGCATACCTTTGTCAAAGCACGTAGTATATTAATTGTATCATCGGGTTTCATTCTTATATAAACATAAGAATTATGGTATATGTTTAACCTTATTATTGCATGAGATTTGTTCATTGGATAATGTAATAGAATAGGTAATTTTTTACTAAGTAAAATGGATAGTTATATGCAACTTGAACACTTTTTTTTTGAAAAAATTATTGGACGCAAAAAACTCTATAATTATAATATAGATGCATTATGCAGCTTAAACAATTTAAATATTATAACTCCGTTTTTTTTTAACTTGACATTTTTTTTAAAAATTTTCTTTTTACTTTATTTTTTGCCATCTTTTATATGGTATTTTTTATTATTATTATTATTTACCTTCAATTCACCTTTCTACCACTTACGCATCTCTCGTTATCACAACCTATCTTCAAGGACTACATGTTATTTCTTAGTTACATTAATTTTTTTGATAGAGAATATCCATAGAATATTCTCATCCTAGGTTTAGGATATATTTTGTATAAGATTATCTTTGATATCTGTACATATCTTATAGTTACCTATTATGATTAGGTTTCTCATTGTAACCCTATAAATATTGATCAATGGAAATCACTCTGATTAAGGAGTTTATATTATCTGACATGGTATCAGAGCTTAGGTGAGATCTTGGGATCATATACAAAAATTCTCACCCTGCAGGTGGGTTAGAAAATTAAACCCGCCGGCGGGATATACAAAGTTTTTTATGCTTCCGCAAACACACATAAAGTTTTTTTTTTTAGAATCATTATGTAACCTTGCGCCTCCTACCAACAGTAGCGAAAGCCTCCTCCATCGTTGTTGGCAATCGCATACACTACCGCCTCCCCCTACTGGCAGTAACCACATCTGCCAACCTACTCCATGTGTCGCACTCTATTTCCACCTCCCCATGACCAACAATGATTCTTACATTGCCTCATTGGTTTTATTTTTTTTTACACATAATCACATAGATTTTGTTTTGGTGGTGGTATATCACAATAAGGTCAACTTTTGCACATCTCTTTTGCTATCAAGTTAGCTCCTTTTATTGTTGCAGCACTTGGAATCTTTGTGGAGTATTACTTCTTGCTACCTGGTTTCTCTTTTGAGAATTGATTTAATTTCAAGTGGTGGGATTTAATCTTTTCTTGCGCAATTTTATTTGTTTTTCTTCAACTGTGATTTCACGTAGTAGTGTAGTGTCTTCTCCCCGATGATGGTTTGATCCCTTAACTTATTCTTCTCTGGATCTGCAACTCGGCCCAAGTATATGCGTGACTCTTCTCCTTCGGCCTAAAAGCGCATATCTCTACTATACGTAGGTTGTGGTTGTTGCTTCTCATCGTCATCACCAACACATGTCTACTACTTCTCTTTTGATCATGGGTTACTATACTATCCTTACCGTTCGATGCGTGATTCAGATCCAGTCTGAGCATCCGATTTTCTCCCGCTCTGACTGCGGGGGTGTGATAGAGTATATCCATAGAATATTCTCATCCTAGGTTTAGGATATATTTTGTATAAGATTATCTTTGATATCTGTACATATCTTATAGTCACCTATTATGATTAGGTTTCTCATTGTAACCCTATAAATATTGATCAATGGAAATCACTCTGATTAAGGAGTTTATATTATCTGACATTTTTAAATATTGAATTTATTTAGAACATGGTCTCTTCAACTTAATTTAAATTCAGTTCAATTCCTAATTTCCTTTTCTCATACAACAATTCAGTCCACCTAATTTCAGTAAATCAGAACACCCTTAATATATTTAGCTCTTTTAAAAATTTTAAATTCAGTAAAATTATATTAAATGAGCAAAAAAACACTCTTGAGTGCACCTACTACCTATATGTGCACCCTCACCAAATCATATTACTTATATATGATAATTTTGATTTAAAAAACTTTTATATCTATACATAAAATACTAGGAAAATTTATCTAAAAGAGACTTTAAGTTTATTAATCCCTCCGTGTTTTTTTTAAGTGACACACTTTTCATTTCCGGCCGTGTTTTTTTAAGTGATACACTTCCTCTTTTAGAAATTCATTACATTTTAATGATATATCTTCACCCCACTATCTCTTACGTTATCATTTCTCACTCCTTTCATGGTCCCCAATTCCTTTCACATTCTTTTACTTTATCATTTCTCACTCCTCCAACATACCCCACTAACATCTTATTTTATTAAAGTCAATAAAATCTCCTAAAACTCTGTGTCGGTCAAACTGTGTCATTTAAAAAAACACGAAGGGAGTACTTTCTTGTGAAAAATGGAATTATAAATTCAAAAGCACTGAGAAAGGGATTTATAAGAAACTTCAATCAGTTCAGTTTAGTGTAGTGAATGTGAACAAACCTTTAGTATATGAAAATGGTACGTATAGTAAAATACTACGAAGTAGGTTTTCATACCAGGTATAGTCGTCAACTTTGAAGCTCTCAGTAGAAATCGGATCCGGTTGGTTGCGATAAGATGAAGATGGGAAAGTTATTTTACCCCATTGATTGATTAAATTTGGAACCACCAGGAACTCAGAATTTGAGGGTCTATTTTCTAAGACTTTCATCTCGACCCCAAATCTACACTTGTCACCTCTTAGAAACCCATTTGTAGGTTCTTCGAAATCCGCTATTTTAATCGCCCTTGAGATTCCTGCTTTTCTATCTAACTTATCGCTGAATACTTGTTCCTTTACGTCTGTCATATATTAAACCAAATTAAAATAATTAGAATCAAACAATTTAACCAAATGCTTAATCCTATAGTTGAATGTTGGAACCTATATAATTAATTTATAAGGAAAATACTTCCTCCGTCTCACTTTTTTTTTTTTTTTTTTTTTTTTTTTTTTTTTTTTTTAGAAACAAGAACAAACAATTAGGAACTAAAGCAACAAAATCGAACAAACACACACAAAGAAACAAAAGAAAGAAAAACACAGTACACTAGTCCTTAGAAGAAGGAACAATTAGCTAAGACTAGCACTAGCAACTAGGGGTGTAAATGAATCAAGCTGATCAATAAACTACTCGGGTTCAAGCTCGGTTGAAGCTTGTTCATGTTCGTTTATTTGATAAAGGAGCCGAGCTTGAACAAATTTTGAAGCTCGTTTAATAAATGAGGTTGAACAAGAACATAGATATGCTCGTTCATATAATTTCATGAACAACTCGTTTATCTAAGTTTGCGAAGTACTCGTTTATTTATATTCATAAATTATTTATTTATTCACAATTGTTAACTTAATTATGAAGTTTTTTAATAATTAAGATTTTATTTTAATAAAAGGATTTAATTATTCTAAGGTTTATAAATAGGATTTAATTATTATGCTAATTTGAAGATTTTCAAATGTGAAAAGTACAAAGCTAATTAATTAGAGAAGCTCGTTTATTACTAAGTTCGTTCATGAAACTCTTGTTTATCAACTCGTTTAATAAATGAGTCGTTTACGAACCGTTCGTGAACATATAGTAATATAAATGAGCCGAGCTTGAACAAGTTTTTAAGCTCGTTTGAAAGCTCAGGATCGTGCTCGTACTCGCATACTTTAAATGAACTTCAACATAAATAAGGTAGTACTCGGCTCGGCTAATTTACACCCCTACGAGCACTCCACCAAGGTCCTCCAATAAAACGGCCTAGCTTCTAAAATCACCATTTTATTTATTAACACAATGCCTTTATGGAAAAAGCATTAGTGGTCAACGAAACGTATAGATTAAAATATTTACCTTGGATGGTCAAATACTCCTTCGTTTCATAATTATAAATGAAAAACCGGACTAGCACTGTAATCGGAGGATACTGAATATTTTGTTTTGGATCAACCCATCTCTTTAAGTACAGTGAAATATGATCGTCAGCATTTGCGTCTTGATCACCCTTAAAATAGATAGACATTAACCTGTTACATACAAGAAAGCAACAATTAGGGTTGATTGAGAACCAATTCGAATACATCCGATCATAGCGATTGTGTTATACAAAAAACAATTCAAGCCGAAAATATACATTTACTTCGTATAAGTTTTTCGTCTTTGTTCTAGCTCAATACCCTTTTGCTTTGTTTTAAACAACTTTTTACTCGTAGTAGTTTAATTTTTATTATTATTATTACTTATTGTTTGAAACTACGTAGTAGTTTAAAATTTAAGATTAATTTTCATATATGACAATGGATGTGTATATACCTAACTTCAAATACATGAAGATTAATAAATTTATGGCCATATATTGTAATAATACCCTGTATTTTTTAATCCGTTTATTAATTGTTAATTATGTTAAATATGTCTTTGATTTGTTTTTTCCTAAAAGTATTTTAAATTAATTATCTCCTATTATATTTATTTTAAGGTAAATTCCTCTAAAGAAAGGGAAATAACAACTAGCCCCTCTCCTCTGTTTCTCCTTTCTCTAAAACCGTAGCTAGCCTCCCTCCATTGTGGAATTTTGGAGGGGCTTTCATCGGTTTTAAACTGGTGAAAATTCTCAATTTTAGTTTCTCTTGTGTTTGTTTTTGTTTTTAGGTTTATAATATACACCCATGAATCTTCGTATCAATGTCATTTAATCCTTAATAAATCATCCACCTAGACAATCCATGACAAAGGACCTATCTACATTTCGTGGCCTTGTTTCTAGTGTAGTTATCTCCACATATACAAACCACTAACCATACTACTACTGTATATTTTAACCCCTCAAGAACAAGCTTCTACAAATGCTACTCCGATTATCCCCTGCCATACTAACAACGCCCTACGTTCGTCTATGTTTATTCGTCTACATTATTTTGTATATATATCGAGTACACCACTACTAAAATTCGGCTAAATTGCGACCGGTTTTTTACGACCGTCACAAAAACGGACGCAAATTATGAAATCTGCGATCGTTTTTTTGCAGTCGCAATTTTGCGACCGTTTTCAAGGCGGTCGCAATTTTACGACCGTTTTTAAGCAATTACACCGTCGCAAAGGTATTTGAATAATTTTTTAAAAAATAAAAAACATATGAAAAATAATTCAAAATAAAATAAAATAATTACGACCGTCAAAATCGGTCGCAGATTTGATAATTTGCGACCGTTTTTGGCGGTCGCAATTATTATTATTTTTTTTATTAAAATCGGGTATAAAAGAGGCTCTCAACTCACCCTAACCCTATTTTTTTGTGGGGATCTCAGCTCTCAGTTCTCGTTTATTCTCTTTGAATTTATGTGAAGTTTGTGGGGGGTTTTTTGTGGTCTAATTACTATGAATTATGTGGGTTTTCCGTGAATTGTGTGGGTTTTTTCAAGAAACTTGTGGGCTTTTTGGATCTAATTTTTCTGGGTTTTATACTTTTTTTACATGAATTTTGAGTTTGATTGTGGAGTTTTTTTTTTTTTTTTTTTTTTACATAATGATAGTGGGTTACTTTTAAGGTGTATTTTTTTATATATAAATTGACAGGTTTTAGTGGTTGTTTTGGGCGTGTGGTGGTGGTTGGTGGGGTTTTCGTGGTGGCTGGTTGGGGTTTTCGTGGTGGGTAAAGGTGGTTGGTTGGGAAGGGGCAGTGTGGTGGGTAAAGGTGGTTTGCTGGGAAGGGGCAGTAAGTGGATTAGCTTTGGTGTGAGAAGTGGTGGGGGGCGTGGCTGTGAAGAGCAGGGGTGGTGCGTAATTTTTTTTTTTTTTGTTTTTTTTTTCAACTTTTAGCGACGGTCAAAAGCGGTCGCTAATTTCCACAATTGCGACCGCTTCTTTTACCGGCCGCAATTATTAATATTTGTGACTGTTTCCCTTGCGGTCGTTGAAAATAACAAAAACGGTCGTAATAATTTACGACCGTCACATAGTCGTAATAATTTGTTTTTGCGACCAAGGAAATAACGACCACCCCTTTACGACCGTTGACGGACGCATTTATGAGTTGCAGCCGTTTTTGCTATTTTCTGCGATCGTTAGAGGCGGTCGCAAAAACCTTAATTTTTAGTAGTGCACATTGTAATTATAACCTTTAGCTTTGTGCCCATACTATAGTGGATTGATGGACTCATTGTCACCTGCGGTTATTACCCACCATAAGGGTTTTCCGCGTCACCATATCGTGTCTCCTCCATCTCTCTTTATTTTTCTGTCATTTACTTTCCATATTTCATATTCCCTATTTTAATTTACGATTGCCCCACCTCATGCACACCCCTTTCCCTCCCTAACCCATTTACTGAACCTGCCCCCTCCCTTTTCCTCACCCCAAAGCTAGCAACCCATTTTTCTCACACCCTATAATGAAACGATCAATAGCAATTGAAATCGATTAGTTTAAGGTCGAACTTAAATCGATTGATTTCAACCGCTAGTGGTTGTTTTAGCTAGGTGTGGAAAGGGAGGGGCGTGTAGTGGCTTAAGGTATTGCAAGGGGTTGGGGATCGATGGGCACAGAGGAAAGGGGAGGGTTAGGGTAAGGGAGAAGAGGAAGGGGTGGAGTTTTCCAACGGGGGGAAGGGGGTAGGGGACATGGATAGGCATATAGCAAAAAGTGAGACATTTTATCATACCCTTATTTTATTATTATGTCTGATAGAGTATAAAACATATTCCCGGGCCTTAACCATTAGTTTAAGCTTTTAGTTGAGTTGGTTCTCTAACATGGTATTGGAGCCAACGTGACACAAAGGTCACTCGTTCGAATCTCATCCGCCCCTCCTTCAAAGTGGAATTAATTCGCACCAGGCATACTAGGCATAGGTGGGCCTGTGTTAAGCCTCAACCATCAGCTTAAGCTTTTGGTTGAGATGCTCCTCCCTCTAACAATGTCCATTCTTATGTGTATATTATATAGGCACCGCATATCCACATATAGCATTTTAAAGAAGACAAATCGAATTTTCAGTGGATTTTGAGGTTAGGAAGGGAAGGGATGAATTTTTGGTGGTAGGGATGGGGAAGGGGGGAATATCCCCTCCTCTTCTCCCACCTCAAAACCCAACGAAAATTTGATTTTGTCTTGTTTAGAATGAACACTCCGGAAGGTTGTATTATTACAAAATAATCAAAAGTTTGTATTAGTACAAAAAAAAAGGCCGAAGGTTGTACTATTTTTATAAAAAAAAAAGGTTATATTATTACAAAAGAGTAAGCCGAAAGTTGTACTATTTTTGACAATTTTTTCCAAATAAAAATAGAAAACTTACCACTTCATATTACCGGATTGAGCGAAGCTAAAAGTCGGGGTTTCAAATTCGCAGGTTTGAGTATCTTTAAGTGACTGTAGGAGGTCTTTGTATGATTTAATTTTAATGAGGAACTGATCTGGCGCTGTTAAACGTGATCGGCCGCCAAATCTTAGTACTTTATCAATGTCTTCCGTTTTGAATGTGTAGTGTCCTGAAACAAAGGCTAAATCTAAGTATTCTGTACAATATTTTCATGCTTGAGATAAACAATAAACAAATGGAGATAAAGATCTTGGCTCTTGAGAGAAAAATGATACTCCCTCCGTTTTTAAGTACTTGCCCCGCTTTCCTTTTCCGGCCGTTTTTAAATACTTGCTCAATTTTCTTATTTGAAAAGTTTTTACAATATTAAATTAATTTCTCTCACCTAGTGGACCCAACATATATTCACTCTCTTCCAATTCTCTCCACTACTTTTAATTTATACAATTTTTTTATTCTTCTACCCACCCCACTACCTCCATACTTTATTACTTTCTCCAATTTTTCCTAAAACTACGCGCATGGAGAAATAGAGCAAGTATTTAAAAATGGAGGGAGTATACTCTAGTCCATAATGTCAAAATGTAATAGTTTATACTCCGTAATAAATAAAAGTGTTACATCACTTTATAAAAAAAAAAAAATAGCAGTGAATTCAAGCAAGCTAAATATCAAACTTTCCGTCAAAAAATAAAAAATATCAAACTTAGGGGGGATAAATGAATCTATTTACATTACTCAATAATCATTCTAATAGTTTTCTGTCAAGAAAAAAAATTCTAAAATCGTATTTACATATGGGTGTAAGGTCATCTAAGGGTTGTTTTTTTACTAACATAAAATATATTTTTAAAATGAGCAAAAAAATTAACATTGAGTGCATTGGATGATTTTATGGTTTTCATTTGAAAATGACAATCATAATTTTTAACAATAAACATTTAAAATTTAATAATTTTAAATTATTTTTTAATGATAATATAGATCAAAAATCAATATAATTATTTCTTGATAAAAAAAAGGATAAATTGGATTTTAACACCTGACAAAAGGCTGAAAATGGTTTTTAACACCCCCCAAAAAAAAACTTTTATTTTAACACCTCCCAAAAATATAAAAGTTGGAAGTTAACATCAGTTAACGATTTCCGTCACGGAAATTTAACGTGGGTCCCATAAATTGGTTTTCGCTCTCCTTCGTTTTCAATTTTTTACGAAACCCACCTTCGTGGCTGCCATCCCATTTTTTCTTCTTATTCCTCCCTTCATCTTTTCTTCGTCTTCTTCCTCCCTTCATCTTCATGGCTGCCATCCCAAACTCTTTCCTTCGTTCTTGCCCACCGGGCACCGGCCAACCCACAGCCATTGACAATTCTCCCGACAGCCATCCCCCACCTCCTTTCAAACCCATCCCCCTTCACCCACCCCCAAATGCACTCGCGATGATTCCGATCAAGCTTGGTTACATTAATGGTAGAAACTCCCACACCACCACAGTCGTCATTTCGACGAATAATCAGCAAAATTTGATCATTTAATAGAAGGAAGTCGTTGGATAGTAGCCCAAATAAGGTCGTCGTCGTTTTCGCGACCGATTCGGAGTTGGAAATTAGGGCTTGATTGAGTTAAAGCTTGATGAAATTGGGGGAATTGAGACATTTTGAGACGGGTGGAGGGCCGAAATCAGGACGGAGAAGGGGGGATGGAATCGGGACGGGGAAGGTGAGGGGGGCCGAGGTGGCTTCGCTGGCGAATCTGGTGGAAGATCTCGCGGAGGTGCTGGTAAGGAACGTGGTGGCTCTGAAAAATTTGACTGTGAGATTGGTTGCAGAGTTTAGGCGAGTTGTGTGGTGGATATTGTGGGCTTGCTGGTTGAGTTCACAACGATTTTGAGGGAATAGCCTGGAGGTTTGGTCGAGTTGGATTCGCTGGGGAAATCGATTTTCGCCACTGTTGGTTGTCCGGAGTGGTGGTTTCTATGGTGGCTATTCTAGTGTTTTGGTTGGAAGAGGACAAAACATGTTTGCTGGCTGCGAAGGCTTGGTCAGTAGCCGTACAGGGCCCTTTATGGGCGGCGGAATTGGTGGTAAAAAAAATGGAAGTTCTCAGTCGCTTTGTTCTCCAACGAAGGAGAAGATGAACCGGTGTTGAATTTTTTTATTTATTTTTTGTATGGTTTGATTTATGAGCACCAAAAATCTGTAAATCTGTAAATTATGAGCACCAAAAATCTGTAATGGATAAAATCAATGAAATGAAGGTTCAGAGAGGAAGTTTCGTGTTTTGCTGGGTGAAAATTGAAGTTGAAGCCAATTTGTGGGACCCACGTTAAATTTCCGTGACGGAAATCGTTAACTGGTGTTAACTTCCAACTTTTATATTTTTGGGAGGTGTTAAAATAAAAGTTTTTTTTTGGGGGGTGTTAAAAACCATTTTCAGCCTTTTGTCAGGTGTTAAAATCCAATTTAATTATTTTTTGGATTTTAATTATAAATTATTAAACTGAATTTCACAAATTAATTTGAAAAAAAATAAAAAACTAGAATAATTATTTTTCTAACAATTTTATGAATGTCTAAAATAAGGAAAATTTTTAAATGTTCAATTTTAAATATTGTGCTACTCCATAGAATTTTCATGAGTGCAACTACCTCTGTAGGCACGCAAGTGTATATAAAAAGGTTCTCATAATAATTTATGGTAATATTATAGTCTATGAATTAAAATAATAATATATATTAATATTTTGTTTAAAAATTGATAACCACCCCATATATTATTGACTTGAACTGTATTAAATTGTTCCTTTTTCCTTTTTTTTTTTTTTTTGAAGTTACCAATTTAGGGTGTGTTTAATTCACTACCTGAACTTATCATATCTGAACTTATTAACCCTTATTTGAACTTATTTTTCTTGAAATAACTGAAAATAAGATGAACAAAACGGGGCCTTAATAAACCACTTAATTAAAAAATTACTCAAATAATATTTATGTGATTTAATCCATTCGTTTTGTAATAATCGCAACATTTCCCGTTTACATAATTACCTCTATATTATAAGGATTTTTTATTTTTTAATTTTTTTGTGAAAGACTACATTATATATTTCAAATTTTGTGAAAAACTACCTTATAAAAAAACTATTGTAAGATATTAACTTATAAAAACTAAATGTTGTAACTTACAACCATGTGCTTGATTTAACAATGAAAGAGAAGGAGAATCATGGGTTATAACTTATAAGGAGGCTATACATTAATTGGATGGGAAAAGGAGAAAAATGATAGATAATGTGTCATTATATGTCAATTATTCAATGACATAATCCGGTAAAAAGTAGTTTCTTACAATATTTAGTACTCTATTTTATAAGATAGTTTCTTACAACATCTAGTGTTTATTAGGTAATTTCGTACTATTTTTTTAATATGATAGTTTTTCACAAATTCTGAAATGTATAAGGTAAATTTTTTAGAAAAAGTCCATTTCTTACTTCCTCCGTTCTTTATTACTTGACTCGCTTTGACTTTTACACTATTCATCACCCCTCCTTTTACCGTCTTTTGTGAATAATATATAAGGAAAAATATATTCATGTATGATTTTTTGGATTCGTCTCAATAAGTACTATCATAATATATAACTTTTATAATTTTTACTTTTGGAGAATTTAAGTTATTGATCGTTAAAGTTTTGCATTGGCAAGCATGATAAAAGAAACACGTCAAGTAAAAAAGAACAGAGGAAGTAATAATTACAAATTTTTTTTTTGTATGGATAGGATCCACTACTATTTTATTATTTGTTTCTCTCTTCTACTTCGTTCACTTACATAATGCAAATATTTTATTATTTATGCTACGTAACCCACTAACAATATTTTTGAAGTATTATTTATCTCTCCTAATAACAATCAAATATATTCCCACTAAATATACTTAAAGTTTCCTTTACGGTTATTACGAAACGGAAAGTGAACAAAATTTATGGCATACTATGCATTACATCTAGCCTTTTAACAATGTCTGTTCTCATTGACTGAACTGAGATGTATGAACTGAACTGAATTGAACTAAAGTGAACTCATTAGAGCTGAACTAAACTGAACTGAACTAATTAGAGCTCAGCTGAGTTGAGTTGAGCTGAACTGAACTGAAATGAAATGAATATTTTATAAGAGAAGAAAATTAGGAGCTGAACTGAACTGAACTGAACTTATTAGAACTGAGCTGAGCTAAACTGAACTTATTAGAGCTGGACTGAACTAAACTCCCTCACTCTATTTCTATTTATTGGTTTTCTAGCCCGTTTGTGGTGTTCCTAACCCTTTTGTTGGTTACAATTGAAATCTTATATTCCGTATGTTCGTTTATTTTGGACAAAGTTACTCTTGATTTGCATTTATATGTTTATACGTTTAATTTGGACAAAGTTACTCTTGATTCGTAGCATACTTTTTACAATATTTAGTTATACATATTTAAGGTCAAAACTATACAGTGACATGTTGTGCCAATTATTATGAAACGAAAAAGTAATACGAGTACCAAAAAAGAACGTACCTGGTAGAGGAAGAGGTGTTGGTAATACTGTGGGTGAGATGGACGAGGACGAAGACTGACTAGTATTATTATTTGTCGTTGTAGAGTCGAGTAACGAATTTAGCTTACGTTGTAGCACATCCATCTGTACTAACAAATCCTTAAGCCTTGTTTCATAGCTCTCTGTCACAATACTATCGTCACTACTATCTTTATCATCTTTTCCATCATTTGGCTTAGCCACATTCGTTTTACTCGGGATTGTAGTAGTGTTATTTTTATTGTTGACATCAACTATGTCACCCTTTATTGAGATTATTATTTGTCCTCCTTCGATTTCACACCGATTCCACACTGTAGTGATTTTAGGCTTTACCTAGTTGAAAAATTGGAAATAAATTATTACTCCGTACAATAATAAGGGTAACCAGTGGCACACCCTAATAATCATTGCATGTATACTACCTCCTTAGTTATAAATTATAAGAAAATTTGTCAAAAAAACCTTTTAAATGCACCATTTTGCGAGAAAAAATCTTTTAAAGACTTTATCGTAAAAAAAAAAAACCCAAAATTTAAAATTTTTATTTAAAGAAACCTAGCGCCACTAATTTTCTCAATTAACATCAAATTTCTTCTAACCACCTTCTAACTCTCACTTAACCATTTAATAATTAGATTAATCTATAAACAAATAAAAAAAAAAAAAAAAAAAACCCACTACCCCACCATGGGAGCAGCTCCCTCCCCCTGCTAAGTTACCAAAATCAGTGTCACCATGGGAGCAGCTCCCTCCCCCTGCTAGCCTACTTTCGTCGTCAACACCCACAACAAACTCGCCCTACTCCGATTACTCGCTCGCTGGAGAAACCTCGCGGCGCCACGTAGCCCAGCTCTATTGGAAATTCTCCGGCTTCGCGACTGTAACGTATCGCATCAATGGCGGACATGCCGATGGAAGGAGGAGAGAGGAATTCGAACTTAGTATTGATAAATTAGGGATTTTGTGAGATAATTCAGGGAAATTGATGAGGAGAAGCCATTGATAACCTAGATTGAGGTGAGAGAAAGATGAAGTTAGGATTTTTGAAGGAAATTGGTGAAGAAGATGAAGAAGGAAAGAGAGGGTAAGGGGATAAAGGAGGGGGTCGCCGGCGGTGAGGGACTTAGTCGGTGGTGGGGGCTGCTGCCAAGGGTGGGGAAAATAGAGTGGGGTGGCTGTTGGTGGTTGGGGCGGTGGTTTTTATATATTTTTATTTATTTCCCTTAATTTAATTATCAAATGATTAAGTGAGGATTAAAGAGTTATTAGAAGAAATTAGATCTTAACTAAGTGGATAAGAGGTAATTGTTTGTCTTCAACAAAGAATTTTTACAATCGGGATTTCTTTTGCCAAAAAAATAAAAATCGGGTATTTTTTTAACAAAAAAGCTTTTAAAAGGTTTTTTCTCGTAAATGGTGCTTTTAAAAGATTTTTTTTGATAAATTTTCCTAAATTATAAACGAATAAGACTGAGACTATGGGTCCTTATCGAGCTAGTTGATCACGAGCTGAGGGATACGGTGTTCGAATCAACTCGAAATTTTTTTACATGTGCTCAACTCGTGCTCGCTAAAATTTCGAGCTAACAAAAACTGCTAGACTCGTGCTCATTAAAGTTTCGAGTCGAGTCAATTAGCTCAAGATCTGTTGATTAGAGTTTTGGCCCTTGTAATTATATGCCTTTATTTATTTTTGTTCACTTATATATATATATATATATATATATATATATATATATATATATATATATATATATATATATATATATATATATATATATATATATATATATATATATATTAACACTTATTGAGTGTAAAACTTGTTTAAATATGGTAACTTCGTTTGTAATTCTATATATTAATAAAAATATATTGTCGAGTTGCTCATGAGCTTATCGAGTCGAGTTAGAGATTGCTCAACTCGTGCTCGTTAACATCTTGAGTAGAGTTGAATACAAGTCAAGCTAACTCAAGTCGAGTTTTGACCGCGCCAAGTTCGAGTTGCTATCAAGCTGCTCAACTCAATTAGCACCCCTAACTGATATTGAGATGGAATAATCAAAATTCTAAAAAAAAAAATTAAAAAAAAAATGGGTATGGCATAAATTTGACAGAAAAAAAAACTGCAAAATTGAAAACCATAAAATGTTTCATGAAACAGGAAAAAAAAATCCCAATTATTGTTGGAGAGACTCAAATATGTGAAATAATTTTTTTTTAAATAAACAAATATGATACGGAGAGATATTTTTACAACGGTCGTTTGAAAAATGACTATCATATTGCTTTAATATAAAGACTAGAATAGACCCGGTCTACAATAACTTATTGTAGACCCAACCTTCTAGTATACCATACGAATGTGATTATATCATACGAATGTGATTATATCATACGAAATGTGATTATATTATTACAAAAGTGATTATATCATCTTGAAACTGTTATGTAAATATATCGCTCAAAAAGTGAATTTATCATTATAAAAAGTATCAAATAATAAATTACATAATTCAAAATATGATTATTAAATTTTATCATCCTAAAAATAATTATATAATCTCATTAAATGGTTTAATATGAGATCAAAACATGACTCATAAAAAGATAATTATATCATCTAAAAAAGGGATTATATTATCCAAAATGTGATTATATTATTTGAAAGTATCAAATTTTGGGTCTACACTAATTTATTGTAGACCGGGTCCATACAAGACTAATTGTTACTTTAATAATGTACTACATGATCCGTTTATATATTTATGCTATAAAATAACCACTATTAATCTTATATTATCCATTTTTTTTTTGAGGAAATATTGTTTAAAATTTAAATCCAACATAAGATAAATATGTTTTGAGAAAATATAATATAAAAATAAAAGTTACATAAATGAACCTAAAAATTTGATAAATTAAAAAAAATATTAATAATACTATTTTATACCAAAAATAAAATAAAATAATTAATGTGTCAATTAATCATATTCCAAACGACTACTGTAAACAGAAGAGGCGAGGTACCTTGTAAGTTACCCAGCCGAAAAGATCGTTGAGCCGATAGTACTCTATTACTGAAACTCGAGGTAGATGATGATGAGGACGATGGAACAATCTCAGACTCCAAATAGCAATAGCCTTCGCGATTGATCAATAAACGCGATTGTAGAAGATCCAAAGCCAGCTTCTTTAGAGCATCGCCTTGAATAACTTGACCAAAGATATCTAATGACTGATGTTTGTATTGATTTCCAATTCCAACAGTTTCAACAAATTCCCAGTCTTTTTCTTTGACATGGGGTGAATGTGGATTACCTGAATTTACTGCCTTCAACTTTAACATTGACACATGCTCCTTTCCACCATATCGTAAGAAATAATCGTTCTTATCTAGTATTAGGGGACTCATGGTTTTGTAATAATGACAAATTATTTATGAGAGAATAGCTTTTTCTTGTATTGATGATCTTGGCTATTATTTATAGCCTACAAAAGATAACCTACACAATACAAATTCTATCATATAAACTTTCATAAATCTATATTAGAATATCACTAAGATATATTATTATCCTAAATATAATATCATAAGATCTATATGGAAAATATATCACAATAATATATTTTCCTATATTCCTAACACCCTCCCGCAATCGTAACGGCAGTAACACGAATGTTACGATTGGAAATTCGCACTTTGTTGAATTCGATCGAGTTGCACCTCTCTATTGATGTCACGTTCAAACTCGCGTGCAAATTTTATTTTATTTTATTTTTATTTAAAAAAACGAACTTTTGCTACCACGACCCTTTGCTGGTGTCCATGGTCTTCTGTCACGACCCTTTGCTGGTGTCCGTGGTCTTTTGTCACGGCCCTTTGCTGGTGTCCGTGGTCTTCTTTGCCACGGCCCTTTGCTGGTGTCCGTAATCTTCTTTGCGACGACCCTTTGCTGGTGTTCGTGATCTTCTTTGCCAGGCCCTTCGCTGATGTCCGTGGTCTTTCGCAATTTTTTTTTTCTGAATAAAAAAAAACGCCAAACGTGGCTTTTCTTCAACTCCATGGAGATGCAACAATGGAAGAAGCACACTCAAACACTGCAACCTAACCAAATCACATATGATCATTCATATTGATCACATACACTGATACACCAATAATAACACACGTATCACATGGTTATTCCAAAAAAAAAATTAAATAAAAAAATAGAAATTTCAAAGAACAATACTATTATTTATGAATCCCACCGGTGGGTTTAATATTCTAACCCACCGGCAGGGGGAGAATTTGTGTGAACGGTCCCAAGATTTAACCTGCTCTTGATACCATAACAAATTATTTATGAGAGAATAGCTTTTTCTTGTATTGATGATCTTGGCTATTTTTTTTAGCCTACAAAAGATAACCTACACAATATAAACTCTATCATATAAACTTCCATAAATCTATCTTAGAATATCACTAAAATATATTATTATCCTAAATATAATATCATAAGATCTATATGAAAAATATATCACAATAATATATTTTCCTATATTCCTAACAAATAAAAATAGCTTTTGCCCTCCTTTTTTTTTAAAAAAAAAATAAGGAAGATAAATTTAGCTACAAAAATTACAATGAAACTCTTGGGATCGTTCTTATTGGTAATTCTGATAATCTTTCTTATAATTGCATTTGATAATTGATATTATATATGAGAAAATTATGAAAAATGACCTTTTAAGTGGTCGATTTTTTGAAAAAGGACCTTTTTAAGTGAAAACTTGTGAAAAAGGACCTTTTAAGTTGTATTTTGTTTTTATGGGGTACTTGAGCGACCTTACGTGGTGGTCAATGTCGGAGCTCCGACGTTGACTATCACGTGTTAGTCACGTGAAGTAATTTTTTTCTTTTTTTAAAAAAAAACCCAAATTTCCCTCCTTTCCCGACCTAATTAATGAAAGAGTTAGGTCGGGAAAAGAGGGAAAATTGGGGATTTTTTTGTTTAAAAAAAAAAAAGTCACGTGACTAACACGTGATAGTCAACGCCGGAGCTCCAGCATTGACCACTACGGAAGGTCACCTAAGTACCCCATACAAACAAAATGCAACTTAAAAGGTCCTTTTTCATAAGTTTTAACTTAAAAGATCCTTTTTAAAAAAGTCAACCACTTAAAAGGTCCTTTTTTACAATTTTCTCTATATATATATATATAAAAAAAAAAAACTACGAACATCCTTCTTGATTATTGAGAGGATACGTTATTTGAGATTTATATACGGACTACTACTTAATTGTTTTGACTTGATTTAGGATTTTAAGGGATCATGTGGACCTTCTAATACTTTGTCCTCCCTCCATCCCATAATATAGTTCTTGTTTGTATTTTACGGTATCATAGAAAAAGAGGAGGATAAAGTGAATAAAGTACTCCCTCCGTCCCTAAATTACATTCCTCTTTCTTTCTATTATGTGATGAATAAATGCTAGAAAGAGGAATGTAATTTAGGGACGGAGGGAGTATGTTAATAAAAGTGAAAAGTACAATCACAGACAAAAGTTAGAGAGAAAGCGGAAAAATAGTCAAAAATATGTGCAAAATTCAAGGATAATTTAGGTTATACAATAAATAAAGTTAAAAAAGTGATGAAGGTATAGTATAATGGTCTTTACATACTATCCAAAAATAAAAACAAGAACAATATTTTGATTCTCCAAAATAGAAAAACAGTACTGTAATTATATTATGGGATGAAAGGAGTAATTTCTTTCTTATTTTGATCTCAAACTTTAAGTGGCTCTATACAGAGGCGAAACGAGAGATAAAATATTATTGAGTTGGGGTCGAAAATAATTGACTTAGAAAATAGTCAAATAGATATGAAACTGAAAAGTATATACTCCCTTCGTTTTTAAATACTTGCTCCACTTTTTATTTGTGATCATTTTTAAATACTTGCCCTATTTCCTTTTTTGGAAAGTTTTTACAATAGTTAATTAATTTCTCTCACCTAGTGGACCCAACATATATTCTCTCTCCTCCAATCCTCTCCACTACTTTTGCCTTTAATATTTTTTAATTCTTCCACCAACCCTATTACCTCCATATTATATTATTTTCTCAAATTCTCCTAAAACTCCGCACATGGAGAATTTAGGAGAAACGGAGCAAGTATTTAAGAACGGAGGGAGTATTAATCTTAAATATTCTTTTTTTTTTTGATAAAATAATCTATAATTTCTAACTAACTTTTTTTTTAACAAAAATTCCTAACTAACCTAAAATACTTTTGATTAAATTGACTTGAGGTTTCCGTCTAAAATAATTAATACAGTACGCCGTAATAATAAAATATTAAAAGGATCGTCAGCTGTCGGTGATCTAATCTATTCAGTACCCAAGTGGCCAAGTTGCACCTTTTTTTTATTTTTTTATTTTTTAACGAGAGTTGCATTTTGTTTATTTACAAATGGATAATTCGATAAGTTTGTCAATTAAGGTTTCAATTATTTTATTTTGAATAGTGGTTTCGATTTATTAATTCCATCACTAATTTGCCAGATTTTAATCACATCCTTCTATCAGTTGTACTCCTCCGATAATAATTTTTATCTGCAATAGTTGATAAAATTTTATGATAAACTATTAGCGTGAATAAAATTTTACACACGGTTATACAATCGTTTTTGAAAATTTATATAATAGTCTACTCTTGTGGTTTTGTTTGCTTATAGATTTATTAACTTGATTTTTTTTTTTAACTTAAATTATTTTTACTAATTGAAAGTATTTTGAAAAAATGGAAATAAATGATCTCACCTTTGTATGGTATGACTATAATAATTTCACCTTTTGAATATTACGAGACAATTCCACCTTTGTATGTCATCTTCTTTTAATGGATCTTGGTTGTTAGTGACTGATTTTAGTAGGTTGTATGCCACGTATCAAATTTTAATTTAATAGGTGCATTATTTAAGTGTATATATATATATATATATAGTGGCGGAGTTAGAATTTTTACGATGGTAGGGCACCATACTATCTAAAACCATTTTATCAAAAAAAAAAAAAAAAAAAACAAAAAATCCATACACATTTGTGAAAGAATGTTCATAATATCAACATTCAAAATTACTTGGCATCGTATTTGTCAAACCTTTATTATTCAAAAAATACATCAAATGTTACCCCTATTCAAGACTTTAAACAATAACCTCGTATTTTTTAGATCGTTTATAATAGGTTTGGAATCACTAGATAAATTTTTCGTATCAAATAGGATGATCCAAAATACTAATTATAGGATTTATAAGTAATAATTCAAGTATACTCATACATTTAAAAAGAAATATTAAAATAAAACTTCTAGTTTTCAAGTTTTGAAAGCACATCATTATATCATCAATTTCTTTATCTTAAGTAGAAAAGTAATCTTGCCCAATGTGATCAAATGGTAAGTTTTTGTGTTATATGGGAAATTGGATGAATAGAACGTTAAAGAGAAAAGAAAAGAAAAGAAAAAAAGAGGGAAAAAAATAAAGAATGTTGGGCAAGAGGTTAGAACCCATGAACTTTGGTTGAAAAGATCATGCTCTAACCACTAGGGTACTAGTAAGCTCAAACATAATATTGCACATTGTATTCTATTTAAACAAAAAATTTACTTTTTTTTTTCTTTCTAAACCTGGAAGGACACAATGTGGCTCCGCTATATATATATATATATATATATATAACAACTTCTTTTTAAAAAAAAAAAAACCAGCCACCAACCCCCGCCGTCCACCTTGAAACCCTAACCACCACCAAAAATCAACCAGCCACCCTCCTTAACCTCCGATAACGACCAGCTAGCACCCACCAACAGATTTTATTGTCCTTCTAGGGTGTTTAAGGGGGGGGGGGGGGTTTCAAGGCTGGAATTTATATATGTTTAAGGGAGGTTGGGTGAGTTTTTTTGGGGCTGGGATTTTCGACGGTTTTCGAAGGTTAGAGGGGTTTTTGAGGGCTGGGATGGAGATTTTCAACGGTTTTCAAAGGTTAGAGGGGTCTTTCAAGGCTGGGTGGTGTTTTTAGGTTGGTGGTTATGATGGTTTTGGGGGTGGGATTTAGCTGGGGGTGATTTCAAAGGTGGACTTTGGTCATCGGCGGGGTGGTTGTTGGTATTGGGAGGTTACGTCCGGCCGATATTGTAGGTTTAGGGTGGTGGTCGGCCAGATTTTGGTAGGCCTAGGGTAAGGGTTTCATGGTGTCTTAGAGGGTGAGGGGTGGTTTTTTTTTTTTTAACTTTTTAAATTTTGACCAATTATTGAGCGACAAGTGGCTTTAAAAAAACATTTTAACTTGTTTAATTGGTTGTCGGTAAAAAGATCCATTAAAACAAGATGATATACAAAGGTGGGATTGTCTCGTAATAATTAAAAGGTGAGATTGTTATTGTCAGACCAAGCAAAGGTGAGATTATTTATTTCCATTTTTTTTTAAGTATTTTTACTAAACTAAACTTATTATTACTTATTGAAACATATATTTAGTGGTTTCTATTATTTTTGAA